CAGAGTCAAAGCAACAGTAAAGCTTCCAGATTTCTCTATTCCAGGCTGAGACAAGTTTGCAAATACTTCCAAAAATTGCCAACACGCCTGCAGGGTAACATCTCTAAAGTACACCTCCCTGATATGAAATGCAGAGCACCTTAACTTCTTCAGCCCTCCCCCAGTCACAACCAGCTGCAAATCCTGCCCCTCAGTTGCTGGAATCTCATCATGAAGGATGCATTTTTTAGGCTGAGAAATACAAATCCACCTTGACAGAGCCAGTCAGGCATACACATGGGCAGTGCTGCTGATAGGTTTGTACCAAGCACTCCCAGTGTGAGAATAACTACAGTGAAACTAAGCAGCTTTTTGCACACTAACTTGTTGCCTGTATGGTTTATTCCAAACTCCCCACCTTTCCCCAGGAGAAACAAGCTGTATTGGCACAAGCAGTGTTTGAAGGTAACCCCAACAGCCTGTTGTAGGTAGCTTTGCAGGCACAACTCTTCACCCCTAGCCAGCTAGTCTAAATAACTTCCTTGCAACAGGAAGAATTGAAACACACAGGCTACACTGGCAAGAGGGTCTGAGCCTGCAGCAGAAAAAGAGCCCTGCAAATGAACCAGTGTAGGTTACTAGGGTGAGGAGAATAGATACTGCCCTGATGGAAGCTCCTGGTACCCACATTCACCCTAACCCAGAGACTCAAAATGCAAAGAGAGGAAATATCAAGAGACAGGAAAGTGCTGCACTGAGGAAGCAGGGGCATGGTTTTGCTCCAGCCTGTCTGCAGCAGCTTTCACAGCAGACCCAAGTCCCACAGGTGGAGGCACACTGTACCATGTACTCAGTGCCCCTCTCCCAACAGCAATCTCAAGAGATCCCTTTAGAAATGGCTCTCACTGGTTTGGGAGTTCACTGGCACTAACTCACTGCCAGGAGCCAAAGGTGCTAAACAGGGGTGGGAACAAGCTATTCATGCACAGTTGGGAAAATGCTGGATAAAAATAAAGGTGTTTGGTAACCTGACTGATAAAGAAGAAAGAGTGCAGATAGAGCTGGAGAAGTACTCAAAGTGGGAACAAGCTGTATAAAAATGAAATGTAGAAAAAATGTGCTGGAGCAGAATAAAAGGACTCTATTCCCATCCTACCCTGGGATCCTGAACCCCAGTGTAGAGTATTTACAAGGGCTTCATGTGTTGTGCTAGTGAGAGAGATCCCCATGAAGCAATAGCTCAGGCTCAGCCCCTGCAGTCTCCAGGAAAGGAGCTCACAGCCCTGCTGTGGTTGATGTGGCAGTCACCAGACTGGGTAACTTGGCATTGAGATGTGTTAGGTGTGGCTTTGGGTATGCAGTAAAACCAATGTTGAATAGAAAGTGTCTGTCAGTACTCAGTGAAGGGAGAAAAAATTTCATGAGCCTGGGAATTACTGGAGGGGGCTGACTAATTTTGGTTGTCCAAAAAGGTCTGTGCTGGGAAATAACTTCCATGCAATGCCTCTGCGATGCGGGGGCGGAGGCGTTGTACTGAAGCCTTGAGCTGTGGGAGAGCATCACTCAAAGATATGCAATGTTAGCACAGGCCAGAACTCGCCTGAGCCAGAGGGTGCCTGCTCATGGCTGGAACAGTCCTCCCTGCAGCAGGCTACAGATGCATCCCCTCTGTCAGCTGCAGCTCCAGTCATGGAGGAGGCTCCCTCCTGCCCTGGAGAGCACTGGTACACCTCTGGGGGCTTTGGAGGTGCTAATAGTTTCAGGCCCTGGTGCAATGGAGACTCACTCTGTGCCTGGTTTGCCAGCCTTCCTTGCCAAGCAGAAACTGTTAGCAGAAGCAAGGCCACTCAACTCCAGCATAGATACAGTGTCCAGAAAAATAAAGTCCCCATCTGCTTTTCCATGATCCTAATCCTATCAAAGCCCATTAGAGTTTGGCATTTGTCTTGAATGCAAAATAATTTTCACTGAAGGGGAGAAATCCTCAAGTCTCTGTTCAGTTCCTGTTTCTTCTGCCTTTATTGGGAAGAATTGCTGTCTGCAATGAGAGACACTCCACATTACTGAGAAGGTGGGTACTGGGGTGCCAGGAAGAGAATGAGCAGAATAAAACCTTCACTAGACTAAAAACAGTGTGAAACACCAGCAGTCAGGTATTCTGTGAGCCTAGCTTTGCCAGGCAGCTAAAATCAAGTCAATGTAAGAAACAACATGGGAAAGCCAGAAATTATTTTGTTATCTTTTCTCTTGCTAGGATTCTGGGCCTGGACAGTAGCCAGCACTCCCTTCCCCAGTACAGGGCTGTGAGCCTGGAGACTTTCTCCTTTATCTCTGAGCTGCTCATTGCAATGTCTGCAAAGCACTAACAAGACATCTGATTGACCCAAATATATCAGTGATCACAGTTTCAGGAATGCTTAACATGCTGTAAATTGAACAGTTTGGCTGATGTTTAACCCTCTACCAATTGTCTGGTTTTAAAAATATTGCAGCTTGTAGGCAGGATTATTAGCCAGAGGGCTGGCTCAGCTAAACTCTGGCTTGTATTCCTTTCAAAGAGTGCAGCGAGGAGGCAGAGTATTTGGGGGAAGTGATGTTTTCCCAGCTATTGATTTAAGGGTGTAGTCACAGTATAGCCTGTTGATTAACTGCCTAACTTACAAGAGGCAAGCTGTAATTGAAATTAATGTCATGCATAACTTGGAGGTTATGTCCACCTTAATAACAGGAAGTCTAGTGTCCTTATCCATGGCAATGGTTCTTCTCTGGGGAGAAATCCCAGCACAGACACTGGCAGCTGGATGCTCACTAGAAGCATAATTCACCTGAAAGAAACACAAATTCATATAAAGCAAAATACATGTCCAACCTACATATGGTATAAAATTAGTTTTTTGCTTTCAATAATTTTCCAGCAAGCTAGGAGTTTTCTTAAACCTATTTCAAGCTAGAAAATGGCAGAGAACAGAGGCAATTCTGTGTCATTTCTTGGGTAAAAATACTGTTGGATAAAAGCCTCCTGCTCAGAGTAACGGCACTGTTCTCATCGACCACTGTGAAGTGTAGCAATCACCAGCTCCAAATCGCAAACCTGGCGTTCACCGCGCAGCTCCTGTGGCTTCAAAGGGCGAAAATGTAAAGCGTCATCTGGCAATAAGGCTTCAGGGTGGGAACAGCTCGGGACCCGAATCTATCTCACTATGATGATTCCGCCCCGTGCCGGCGGTGCCGCCGGCGGCTGCAGCGCGGAGCCGGGAGCGGCAGGAGGTGCTGGTGCGACACGGCCGCGGCCGCACGGAGCGGCGGGGAGGCGCCCGCTGCGCTCTGCCCGGGAATTTGAGGCAGAAGACAGGGAAAAAAGCGAATTCGACTTCTGCTTCCCCCCGCCCCCCCCTGGCCCCGCCTTTTCTTTGCGTTGTTTGTGGTGGGTTTGGGGTTTTTTTAAGGTATTTTTAAATTTTATTTTATTTTGGTTTGTTTTTTTTTTTTTTTTGTGTATAACTGTGTGTGTGTATCTGTGGGTTGTTAAGGTGTGTTAGGCGAGTTTGAATGTTTTTAACAAATACTTATATTAAAAGAAAATAAACTGTATTCCATACAACCTGGAAGACTGGAGTGTGGCTGAAACACAGAGTTGTTGTGATGCCTCAGAAGAACAGAAAGAGTTCAAGAGACGAGAAAGGGAATTTTTATCTTTTGCAGTAGTTAAGATTCTGCGTGCAGTGGTTTTGCTGCACTGATCCAACTTCAATAACTACTTTGGAGGATAGCCACGGCAATGATAGCAAAAGGGAGAGGTGTTTAATCTCATTCTGCTCACAAACGTGTTCTCTGCAAGAGAAGTGCCCAGTAAAATACTGAAAGAGCAGAGCTAAGCATCTTTGGCTTGAGAAGGCAGAAAAATTGAAATGGGGAATAGAGAAATAGCTACTCTTCTAAACACCTCACAAGAGACACAACTTGAAAAGAAAGGCTGGCGGTCGTTCCCTCGGGCAGGATATCCCGCGAGGGGGGCCAACCCCTCTCGAGAGGGTTAAAATGCCAGGCAAAGCTGGTCCGTGACACACCTGGTGCTCGAGCACCGCGCACATCCCGGTGACAATGGACGCGAAGGGCGCTGCCCTCCCTGCAGGCGAGCCCCCACCGAAGCTCCGTGGGGTCTCACCGCCGCGCCTCGCCCACGGTCACCGGCGGCCCTGCCGGGCAGGGAGCGCCGGCATCACGCAGCGCTGTGCGGGTGGGTCCGGTTCCGCTGCCGAGGGACAGGTGTCTGTCCGGGTGTGCACCGCGCGGTGCTCGTGCTTGCAGCGATCCCTTTGTGCAACCACCTGCCGGCTCCCGGCCCCGCGCGGCGCCGAGGATCGGGCCGGGCCTGAGGGGTGATGGAGCGGAGGTGGTGCCGCTCTGCCGCTGACCGCGGCGCGACCCTGCCGTGCGCCCGTGGGCGGGAGGCGGCGCGGTCGCGCCCGGGGCTCCGCGACCGCCCGAGCACCGGCGCGGGGGGCGGCCCCGCTGGCGTGCGTACCGCCTTCCCCTTCCCCCTCCCCGCTTTCCTCCCTCGGTGTGCAGGCTCCTTTGTGCTGCCTGCAGCGGCGAGGAGGAACCGGCGGGCCAAGCGCCCGCGCCGCAGCGCTCTCCCTTCCCGTGGGCGGGCGCCCGGCTCGGCTCCCACGCCATCCGCGACCTTTCCGCCTCTCCGACGGGGCTCTCCGCCGTGTGTGGGACCGCCACCCCCGCCGCGCGGGCCATCGCCGTTTTAAGCGGAGGGCCACGCCGGGAGACGGGGCGGGTCGGGCGCGCCCCCCCGGCTCCCCCACGTGGTGCGGTGCCCGTGTCTCCCGGCCGCCGGCGGAGCTGGGCGCACACGGCGTGGGGCAGCCGCCGGGGCTCGCCTGCTCCCGTCGCCGCTGCCCGGGCGGCAGATCCGGCTCGCGGCCATGCGCCAGAGCTGCGCTGAGCGGCCGAGCGGCGGGGCTGCACCGCCGCCGCGTCCCGCGGTAGCGGCGTGAAGCGCCGTGAGGATGAAGCGGGCGAGGCGGGCCGCGCCGGGCCCCCTGCCTGTGCTGGGGCTGCTGCTGCTGGGCGCCCTGCCGGGGCTCTGGACGGTGCTACTGCGGCGGGAGGCGGCGGCGCTGCCGGAGCCGCGGCCGCCCGCCGGGCAGTCCCCGGGGCGATGGGGCTGGGGGCGCTCCCCGCCGGTGCGCGGCGAGTCCGGCGGCGGCGGGCAGAAAACTTTTCGGACGCTGCTGGCGGTGCCGGCGGCGGCGACGGACCGGGAGGAACGGGACGGTGAGGAGCGGCTCGCTGTGACCGACTCGCAGCCGCCGGCCGACACCGCCTCTCCGGTGGAGCGGGGCATCTTCTGGAGCCGTGAGCTGGAGGAGCAGGTGCCGCCGGGCTTCGCGGCAGAGGAGGCGGCGGCGTGGCTGGCGGCCGCCCGCGCAGCCCGCGTGGCCTCGCTGGAGCGGGGCGGCTGCGGGCGCAGCTCCAACCGGCTGGCGCGGCTGTCGGACGGGAGCCGCGCCTGCGTCCGCTACGGCATCAACCCGGAGCAGATCCAGGGCGAGGCGCTCTCGTATCACCTGGCCGGGGTGCTGGGCATGCAGGAGCGGCTGCCGCCCATGGTCCTCGCCCTGGTGGAAGCCCGCGGGCGGCAGTGGGAGCCGGTGCGCGAGGAGCTGCGCGGCTCGCACTGGGCCGAGGGCGCCGTGGTCAGCCTGACCCGCTGGGTGGACAATCTCACCGCCGTGGTGGCTCCCGCGCCCTGGGGCGCCGAGGCGGGTGCCGGCCGGCGGCTGCAGCCGCTGTCGGCGGGGGAGCTGGTCGGGCTGTCGCCGTCGCAGCTGGTGGAGCTGGTGCAGTGGAGCGATCTGATCCTCTTCGACTACCTGACGGCCAACTTCGACCGCCTGGTCAGCAACCTCTTCAGCCTGCAGTGGGACCCGCGGGTGATGCGCCGCGCCACCAGCAACCTGCTCCGCGCCCCCGACGGCGGGCTCGTCTTCCTGGACAACGAGGCGGGGCTGGTGCACGGCTACCGCCTCCTCTCCATGTGGGACCCCTACAACGAGCCGCTGCTGCGCTCCGTGTGCGTGTTCCGCGAGGGCACGGCCCGCCGCGTGGCCGAGCTGCACCGCCGCCGCAGCGCCGCCGCCGAGCTGCGCCGCCGGTACCGGGCGCGGGAGCCGCTCTGGGCACGCCTCGGCTTCCTCTCCGAGCGCCAGGCCGAGCTCCTGCAGGCCCGCGTCGACTTCGTGCACCGCCACATCGCCCACTGCCGCGCCCAGGCCGCCGTGCTCTGAGCGCTCCGGCTCTCCTCCGCTCCCGGGCAGCGAGGCTGACTTGGCCCGGCAGCGGCCGCGGGCCGGAGCTGACCCAGTCGCTGCCCCGCAGTCGCTGCGACTGCCGGGGACGGGGGAAGTAATGGGCTACCTGCCTGCCGGGGCTGTCGAGAGGAGCGATTGATTCGCTTTGTCAAGAACTCTGGAGATGCAGAACGCAATCGCTGCCCCCAGAGTTGGAAAAATTAGAGGGTTCAGCATCTTCAGTTCCTTAACTCTCTTCGTGCACTCCCCCTCATAAGAGACCCCATAGGAAAGCAGTCGTCTTTTGTCTGGATTGGGGTCGAGTAACTTGTTTCCTTCCAACGAAGGCAGGCAGAAAATTTTTTTATATATTATTCCTTTTGCAACGGCATATTTAAGTATGAATGTTGATGTTCATAGACCAAGAACCGATTGCACAATAGGGGACCCCCTAACTAGCAAAACTGCCCTATTTATGAAACTTGTTTCCTACCAGTTTTCTTTAACGAGAGTGAACCTTTCCACTGATTGTTAAATCTTGTTGATGAGAAGCGTATAGGAAGCCCATATTCTTAGGTTTTTGTGGATTCATTGGGTTAAACTGCTCTGATTTTTAAGGGTTTGCTTGTAATCATCATAATTTAATCTCACCAGTAAAGTAACTGACTAATGGGTGGCACAAGAAGATCTCCCATTTTTAAAAAATATTGTTATGTGCTAAGACTTTGACACAATAGTTAAAGTGGAGGAAAAACTGTTTCATGCACTTTACTTTGACTTTTTAATATTTTTTTTATAGAAGACCTTTTTATTTTACAAAGTCTGCCTTTTATGTACATTGTATATGTTCATAAAGTTTTCTGTAACATACTAAAGAAACTGATATTTCAGTAAAGTGTGTTAATGTTTTGCCTTCTGTGGCCTGGATGTTTGCCTGAGCTTTGACAGGGAAGCATGCATCTCCTCGGTCTTTCCTGCTGGGTGATGGAGGTCACCACTTCACAGCTTGTCACTCCACTGAACAGAATGAACTTTTACTCATTCCTCTGAGGCAAGGAGTGGTAGAGTTAAGCTTTCAAACACTACTCTCATTCCTAGGTGTGCCTGAAAGGGGAAAAGCTCTTGGAGCGGCTAAAGTAGAGTGCGTGCTTCAGCTGAATAGACATTTATCTGGTTTTCAAAGCCTAAAATGGACTGCCTGGGCTAACCCCGAGATAACTGAAGCAGTTAGCTTCAGCAAGCTGACCGAGCTGCTGAGGGCTAGCTGTCAGACTTTTTGGGTGCTGGGACTGGATACCAACTGGGCAGGTCATGTCAGCTGTTCCTGCTCCAGAGGCTTGTCCCGGGATGGCAGTTGCTTTCACTGGTGTTCATACTGTCTTCCCATTTTGGTTATCTTTGCAATGAAGAGATTGAGGCAGAACTGAAGAACAAGAAAGCTTTTTAATCATGCTGAAATAGTTGGTGGGGGTTTTTTTCACTACAGAAGTTCTGTTCTAGGGCGAAGTAGTAGCAGTGGACATACAAAATAAAATATTGGCATCTCTTGCTTTTTTTAAACATACCAGTATTCATAGAAGAGGCCATTGTATGGCTTGAAATAACGCCAGAATATGGACAAAGGATAAACTAATCCTTTTTAGACCCCTAATGCCAGTATATATCCTGGTATAAACAAACAGCAGCATAATCTCTTCTACATCTGGACAGGCAGCTCTTGGTGAAGGCATCAGCATGCCCCAGTGGCTGCTGTGCAAGTAGGTGCTGTTTTCAGTGTTGAGCAATAACCCTCCCTTGAACTCAGGGAGGGATGTGCATTCCGACCTGCAGGAGGTCTTTGGTCTATTAATATTCATTATTTAGATTAAACTTCACATAAATACAATTTTTGTTGGCCATTAGTGTTGTTGGGGGGGTTGGGGGTAGTTTTTAAATAAGACAAGAGTTTTACAAACAAAAATAATGGTTGATTAATTAGATATGTTAGATAGTGCATCTTTGTGTATGAGTATTTATTTCAAAATGTCCCAGCAGCCTGCAAGACTAGCTTTCATTCAGCTGCTGAACTGTCAAGGCTCTCTATTGAACTTGTATTTATAGTTCACTGCATTTATCTCTAGGAACAATGCACAGAATCCCATGTGACATTCCCTTGTCATTTACATGATAATACACAACTTAACTGTAATTGTTAATTCTTCTTTAGCATTGCTTTGTAACTGGAATGCAGCAGTTTCTGTAGCATTCACCTCATGAAAATATATTTAAATAATAAACTGCTGGCATACATTTTAAACCACTGTGAAGAGCAAACTGCTGTGCCATAAGCATCTAAGGTTTTATTTCTGTTTAAGTACTTCTATAGTTATGGCACAACTGTGGCTTTGATGGCTAATGAGAAGTAAATCTTGTTTGCAATGTCTTTAGAGCCAGAGCCTTGCTAATTACCTCTTTCAAGAAGAAACATCATTTCCTATTTGGTGACTGGTGACTACCTCAAGTTATATATAGGTTTATATATAAGTTACATGTTCAAAAATGGTGTAGTTGTAGGTTGGTGTGAAACTAGAGATACTGTGCTAGGGAAGAAATGCCCTGGGAAATGTGTTCATTCAAGAAGGATGGACAAAACTAGCGCAGATGGATGACGATACTTCATTCTGTTGCTCTATTTTATTCTTCTGGTGCAGATCATCTGTAAAAGCTTTGAATTATCATTATATTAAGGCAAACTTGCTTTTTTCTGTGTGATTTCTTTAAGGCAAACAGTGCTTTGTGAATTAGTGGTGTGCACTAATATGTGCGCTTTTTGCACGTATTTTAGCTGTATGTGCTGTGTTACATTTGACTATCCTCCTGCAGAACCAAGGGATGAAACTGTAAAGCTTGATGTGTAATTTCCGTGGCACTCCTCTAACTCTGCTTACTTCCAGCAGAGTTTCCTTTGAGTCAGAGTAATCAGGCAGACAAGGAAGGCTGAGAACAGGAAGACTTCAGGACCTGAAAGTTGTGAGTAGAAGGTTGTCAGTAGTAGGATTGCCAGGTTCTGGCTATGCATTGCCAGCAGCTCAGCAGCACTTTACCCGAGGCTCAAGGAATTGTCTGCACAGTCTGAGTCAGAATGGGGCTGTAGGGCTTTAGACCTCACTCAGCAGACCACTTAAGGATGCACTTCCCGATGCTTTTCACAGACTTTCCATAAAGTATGTGTTGAAAGGTGGTGCCTTGGTCAAATGTGGCCTCTTGCACAGACCTGAAGAGGCTGGGTGAGGGCCACAGCCCAGATGTGGTCTGGGTCTGTCCAAAGTGTGAGACAGGAGGTGCTTAACTAAGTAAAGTAGATAGGAGACCTAGGTGCATAACTGGTAACACAAGCTTCAGGGGGAAAAAAACCAAACCAAACCAAAGAAACCCAAAACAACAACAACAACAACAACAAAACAACAGTAAAACCCCCAAAACAAAACGGGGAAAAGTAGCTAGAGAGGATTTCAATGCACTGCATTCATTCTGTATTTCTGTATGTTTCCCCAGTTAAGTTCAAAAAAACTCCTGATTTTTTCTTGCATTGGCATTTGAGGAGGCTTGTAGGGTTAGGTGGTTGCTGCTATTCCCAGCTTGGGTTCACATGGGGACACTGTCTAGCACAGTGAAGGGAGGACCGAGTTCACAGTTTCTGAGAACTAAAGGATATCAAAATTGGCTACTGCACCCCCAGAGTGCACCAAACAGCAAAGCCTGTGAATTCAGAGGGGCTCCCACTTGGTGAAAAAAGCAAGAATGTTGTTTTCAACACAAATCTCCTTTGCTTCTCTTTGCTTGCATCTGAAGTAGTTTTCAGTAGGGATTTATTTTCAGTGTAGATTTCTCTTTGAGAATTTCCTTCACAGCTTGGGAAGCTCTTCCCAGGTGCAGAGTTCCCTTACCTCTCACAAAAAGCAGCTGCCCTGGGGATGGAGCTGTGTTGACCTCTGGTGCACACTTTGCTGCCCTGCTGAGGCTGTGTCAGCCCATTCAAAGGTTGGGGAAATAGCTCAGGGCCAGTGGAAGACAGTGAAAATATAGTTAGTAACACTTTGACTCACTGGTCATACAGCATGCTCTTGACACCAGTGTATTCTTTTGCTTTTCTTTGAAGTTTGATGCCTTTTTTAATGATAATAAACTTAGAATTATCTCACTGACATTACTAGGTGGTCCAGGACTGTGAGATAGGAGATTATATTAAAACTTAATCCCATTTTGCATGTTATTCCTACTTTGCAACCACAGCATGAAATTTAATCGCTCCTTCAGAGCTGTGCTCCCTGGGTTAAATGTGGCAAAGCTCCTGGGAGAAGGGGCTGGGCTGCACAGTAAGCAGTGCCTGCTGGGCACCCACAGAGCTCCTGCTACTCTCAGTGACCTAAAAACCTTTTACCTTGCTGGCTTAGGTCCTAATAGAGCTCTCCCTTCTGAAGCAATGCATGCTTATCTGAGCAGAAGTTAACTTCCCAGTGGGGTGGTTCATGTATTTTATTGTGAATCAACTGGTGTTTTAACAAACATTATCAGTCCCATACTCAGGGACTGTTTAATCTGAGTGTACTTTGGGTATGGGGCAGAAACAAGGTGTTACACCTGTGATGCCTCAACACCCTCGTGTGCTGTGGCTTCCACTGCCTGCTCCAGGGCTGGATGAGTTTCTGGGAAAGAAGGATACACACAAGCCTGCATCAGTCAGGGTTGCTGCTGTGTCCAGGTGTGAAAGGAGCTGTGCAGATAAAGGAGACTGATTCCATCTGAAAGAGAACCAGTGCTGTACTCAAGGAAAAGAGCTCTGGCTGAATTATTGGAGGATGAACAATAATAGGACTAAGAAAAGGGTCTGACTTTGCAAATGGATTGTCTGGTTTTGCATGATTCTGCTATTCAGCCACTGCCTGTAGGGTTTGGGTTGTGGGGTTTGTGTGTGTGGCACTTGCTCCATTTCTGCAAGAAAACAAACAGAAGAGAAGACTGACTGCAAAATGCAGTGATTGCTGATGCAGGGGAAATTGAGCAGACATCCTGAAGACCCAGACCCTTCCAATTCCTATCCCAAGGAGGGATACACAGGTAAGGGGATTTCAGGTGGAATGCAAACAGAATGCAAGCTGGTTACAGGGACAATTAGACAGGGAAATTTAATTGTACTGCCAGGATGTAACCATGCTTTTCCAGCCTCTGTCACCTGGGCTTTTTAATTGGACACACTGTCAAGCCAGTCTTTGGTCTCAATCCAGCAGAATGTGTTTTATAAGGAGTATTCAAAGGCAAAAGAAATTTAAAAAATAAAAAAAAAAGATGTAGAGGCACTTTAAAGCAGGCAAATTCCATCCAGATGGTGGGACCAAGCAGCAAACATCCTTAGATGAAATTGGATGGCTGCAGAGATAGTGTGTCCCCGCCCCAGACCCTTTCTCTACCTTCTGTGACAGGTTTTTTTGCAACAGCCTCTGAAATGGGCCTTTTTGACAGAGTCTGTGTCACAGAAGAAGGAGAAAAAAGTGTGGAAATTTTTGGCATTCCCGGTATGGAGGACCTGCCTTTTCCCTGTGTAGACCATTGGCAACTAGTGATCTTGAAAGAATGGGCTCATTTTTAAAATCTCTCCTTAAATGATTTTGTTATCTGGCAGATTTCAGCCTTTGTAACATTATGTATCCTCAATGATTTTTATTGCCTTCAGCATTTTATTTAATCAATATTATTTGCCAAAACTCATAAAGTACTTTACCCATTCTGAGTTTTGAGCAGTTCACCAAAAACTCTCTTTTGATGCCAGAGAATCCATTATATAACTTTATATCCAAGTATGTAACAGTTAATGTTTACCCAAACTATTTGAACTAGAGGTTGCTGTCAACCTTGGGGCATCCTCAGATCTT